GCTGTAGCAGCCTCTCAAATCTGGGTACCACTGTGAATCAGTTTGGATAGACCCTATTACGCTGTGGTGCTCAATCAGCCCCCACGTATCAGAGAATTAGAACAACAAAAGATTGTTTCTCACTCACACTACATTCCTGTTGCTTGGTCTGGGGCCCTGCCCCATGTCCCCTCACCCTGGGATCCACCTCACTCTGCCAGCAGCCACTGCCACGGGTGATGCTGGCCATTGGGGCCAGGGTAAAGAAAGCTCGCAAGGCTTTTGCACTGGTCATTAAATGTTTTGGTCCAGAAGTGACACACTTCCGCTTACAACGCGCTGGTCTGAACTATGGCCTGGCCCAACCACAAGTGAGCTGGAGCACACAATCCCCCGCCATCCTGAAAGGCAGAGAGCTGGAGACACTCGGGAACAAGCACTAATGATGCCGCAGCAGGGGAATGGAAGGAAGGAGTAGGCTGCAAACTTGTAATTCTAACACATTCTCTTGGGATCCTCCCTGAACGATAAGGCATTCTTTATAGATTTCTTGGCATGGTGAGCCATTTCCTAGGGCTGTGATTTGCATGACGCAGATGTCTAATGCATTCCTTTTTCAAGGTACAGCTTCACTCAACTGAAAGCTGTTAGATTTTTCTCTAGCAGATTCCGGAGCATCGTTAACTGCATTACCACCTGTACTTGATATCACCACCATCATCACCGCCATCATCACCATCATCGTCATCACCATCATCACCCCCACCAGCACCACCATCATTACCGCCATCACACCATCATCATCATCACCGCCATCGTCACCATCATCACCACCACATCATCATCACCAGCAGCATCATCATTAAAACCTTTGGCTAAGCAGCTAATTACAAGTGATGCTTATCTACAAGATACGTATCTGCATTTGTCTTTCCCCCTGTCACTTTGCTCCCAGGGAAAGCCCAGAGATAGGGACATGATCATGGTGCTTATGAAGACTAAATTAACAGAAGGGCACCTTAGGTCTAAGTCGGTCCCAGTTTTTGGTTTCCAGGACAACCCTTTCTCTAGGTTTCCTGTTACCTCAAGGAAAACCCCTTGGTCTCCTTTGCTGGCTCCTCTTCCTCCTGAAGTTAAACTGCAAATTGTATAGCGCTGTGAAGGACTTGGTCCTGATTATATTTCTCTTCATTGTCCATATTCTGTGTCTCTAGAGGACTTTAATGCCATGGATTTAAATATTTTTAAATATTTTGAATTCATACATCATAAATGTCCCCCTTCCTCCATCTTCCAGACCTGGATAAGCAATCTCCTCCTTGATGTCTCCATTCATATGTCTAACTTGCCTCTCTAGATCAATACATCTAAAAATGAGGTGGTCTTGATTGATCCCAACCTGTTTAGTCCCTCATCTTCCTTTTCTCAATCAGTGGCACCACCAACTCGCCTGGTTACTCACACAAAAAACCTGGTGTCCATGGTCTGTTTCTCATGTCCTGTCCATCACCGATTCCTGCCGATTCTACCTCCAAAACACCTCCCCAAGCCCCACCCCTCCTGTCTCTATCTCTACTCATCCTGCCTTTCATGTAGTCCGGGTCACACCGTCTTTTTTCCCAAGTCACTCCAATCCTCTAGCCTTCTAGGCTTTTCTTTTGTCACTTTGTGATTCACAATAGAATAAGAAAAGTCTATGTTGCCATGAAACTGGGGCTCAGTGAACACCGGGGAAGTTCACCTGTCACTGGAGGTGGCTTGCAGTCCATAGACGGGGTTGGCCCTCTTGCCTTCCTTCTCATTGGAACTGGTGCTTCTAAAGGTGTGATTTTACTCACCCTTAATTTTTGCCCGAGAGGAATGATCTAGCAGCACTGGGCTTTTCTAAAGCGAAAGAATGAGCCTCTTTCACAAAAGAACTACAAACAGAAGTCTGATTCATGAACTTGCTAATGGGTTTTCCCTCCAGGGGGACCTCCCCGCGCACAGTGAAGCCTCTCCTGACGCCTGACGTGAAGGTAACCACAGAGCATCAGCTCTGCTGGCAGCTTGGCAGTCTTAGCCCAAGCGGCACCCAGAGGGCTGTTCCCGCCACCGTGTTAGGCTGGGCATCCTTCTGGCAGAAGTCAGGCTCCTTCCCATGATTCTCCGAGGTTTGTTTTGAAGAGTTGCTGCCCTAGTTGACTACCTCGTAAACAAGAATGGCCATGATGAAAACAAACATGTTGCAAGAATTGACCGTCAAAGACAAAAGGAATCATGGCAGTCAATTTACAACCCAGGAAACAATTACAGATAATTGGACAAGGGCTAAAAAAGAAGAATATGTTCTATATTGTACTTGTAGGTTCCCTTTTCTTTTTCTTGAAGTGTTTTTGTTTTCTGAATGGAGCAAATCACTAGTGCAAAGTCTGAACTGCTTAGTTACATAGTCTGTGAATAGGAAAAATATTGACTTGGGTGACTGGGTGCACTCGCTGTCTCCCTGTTCACTGGAACCTGCAAGGTGAGAGGAGGGAGTGGAAATTAATAGAACAAGCATAGAAAGGCAGCAGAAACGACTGCCCACCTTCCTGAGGCTTGATGAGGGGCAGACTAGGGAGTGAAGACACAGCAAGGTGGTAGTCTGTCTCCTACCCACTCACAGCTTGACCTCCGCACTGCACATCCGGGAAACTTAGTGCCCTACTCCTCCTGCACCCACCCCACTGGGAGTGAACCGCTGTGGTTTTAAAACCCTCTGTGCCATACAAAGAACTCGCACACGAATCTTGTGGTTTGAGAGTACCTTTGCATATCCTTCCCATCACGGTCATCAGTGAACTCTTACCAATGACCTTATCTGCACAAGAAGCTACACAAAAGCACCTGGCTGTCAGACAACTTCTTCTGTCCATAGCCACCCCCAAAGGCGGACACCGAGGCACAGGGAAGCAGATGTCAAATTTTCCCTTGAAAGCAGCAGTGTGAAACGATCAGACCAAAGCTCCCCCACCAGACCGCAACCTGTCCGATCTAGTGACCAAAGACTCTACCAGTCTCTGGCCGTAGGAAAACCATTCTTACCTCCTCCCTCCTGGAGGGTTAAGGAAGGAGTCTCTACAACAAACTTTGGTCCCTACCCAAACACTGCCAGGTGGCCTTCCTTGTAACATGACCCAGGTGCAGAGGCCAGCTTCCTCATAGGACTGTGAGGAGTGAGTGAGATGGTGCAGGGGAAGCACCCAGAGGGGGCCAGTACATGCTAGATACTCAGGAAGTGCAGCTAACGGTTCCAGCACTCTTACACGCCCCACGCCCCCTCCCCTTTTTTTCTGGGCTGCGCATTAAGCAGACACTCCAGAGTTGTTTCCAGGGAGGCTGGGAGCAAGTGCTTTCCAGGATGTACTTCCCTGGGCTATGGTACCTGAGATGGCAGGTTCTTTCTTCACTGGAGCTGCTGTCCCAAACCCCAGGACTTCCTTGGAAAACTTCCGATGGGACAGGCAGTGGGAGACTTCTCACCCTTTTCTGTGCTATCACTTTGCAGTCCTAGGAGAATGACAGCCTTGCCCTCCCATGTTTGCAAAGGGAGCCATGGGATTCTCTGGGGACCGACACTGGAGTACAATTTAAATTGGAAGTGCTCCAGAGAGCAAAAGATGCTTCCTTTTTTTTAAAAAGTAGAGATTGAAGGAGTTGGCAAATGGGCCTTCGTAAATATAGAAGGACGAAATAGGATTTGATTTTTTCATTAAATTTCTGGGTGAGTGGAGGCACAGAGCTCGGTGCGGGGCGCGGGGGATGCGGGGGGAGCGGGGCGGGGTGTTTCCTCATTGATGAAATGCACTGCGCAGGTCAACGCCGTAAGCCCAGAAGAGCAAAAGC